AATGGGGAATGTGCCAGAATAAATCTAACAAACCACTTGGGAGATTTTAATTATGAAAACTACAAAATGCTAATGAGAGAAATTAACAACGATCAGAAAAAACCAGTTGAATGTTTTAATGGATGACAAAATTTAATACTGTTCATACTGAAATTTTCTTCACGTTGATTTGTCAATTAAATACATTAATCAAGATCCCCACAGGCATTTCTGTGAAAATTGACTACAGATTCTAAATATCACAAGAAAATCAAAATTGCTTTGAAGAGCCAAAACAATTTTGAAAAGGAAAAGAAAGTTGAATGTCTCCTGTGAGTTAGGACCAGGCTTCCTGAGGCTGTACATCAATCAAGACAGTGTAGTATCATCTCAAAGCTGCACATGGGAGAATCCAGAAGTAGATCCACACATCAATGCTAATTGATTTTTATTCAGGATATCCAGCTAATTAGACCAGGAAAGATAGGTTTTGTTCTCAAAATGTGTAAGGAAACTGAGACAGCTGTAAGAGAAGACATGACACTGAGCTATGATGCACAGATAGCATTATAAACAAAAGGTCACACACTGTGGACTGCAGAGCTAAGTGAGAAAATAATTCTGTTTTTAAAAAAATTTTATTATTTTTATTTTATGTGTATGAGTGTTTTGCCAGCATGTATGTAAGCATACCAGTGCAATGCCCACAGAAGTCCTAAGACAACATCGGCTCTCCTGGAACTGGAGTTATAGGTGGTTGTTAACCACCGTGTGGGTGCTGGGATTGAACCTGGGTCCTCTGCAAGAGCAGTCAATGGTCTTTACTGCTGGGCTATCTTCTCAGCCTCAGAAAATAATTCTTAAATGAAGCATAAGAAAGAAAAATCACAAGAACAAAAATGTATCCTTTTGGTACACTATTATGGAAATTAACTAATGTAGGGTGAGAGAAAATCTTCACTAAATGCCCATCTCACTAAGGACTTGTACCCAGAATACAGAATATCTATAATTTGAAGGCAGACAGCCCAACAAAAAGTGAACAAAGGATTTTAATCCAGCCTTTATCAAAAAGACACTGAATGAAACCGTAAAAGGCCTGAAATTGCCAAAGCAGTTTTGAATTGGAGGCATCTCATTCCTGACTTTAAACTATATCACAAAGCTGTTTAAATCAGTACAGATTGGAACTGGTGTAGAAACAACCACAGTAAGAGGACAGAATAAAGAGCCCAGAAACAGACCCTGGCACACATGGTCAGCTGAACCCTGAGGTAATGACAGACACTCACACGTGCCAAAGTCTTATAGAGGAATTGAGTGGAAGCTAATAAAAGATTTGTTTTAAGGAATGTATTTTTTTCATTTGCTTTGAAAGTATTTTAGTTTTGTCCTAGTTTGTTTCTTTACTGTTGTGACAAAATACTCTGACCACTACCAACTTGGGGAGGAAAGGGTGTATTTAGCTTACATATCCTGGGTCACAGTTCATCTGGGAGCCCAAGGTAGGAACTCAGGGCAGGAGCCTGGAGGGTAGAGCACAGGCCATGGAGGAATGCTGCTTAATGGCTTGCTCCCCTGGCCCCTACTCAGCCTGCTTGCTTATGCAACACAGGCCCACCTGCCCAGGGGTGGCCCCACCACATCACTCATCAAGAAGATGCCCCTCAGACATGGCCACAGGCCAGTCCAATAGAAGAAATTACCCAAATAAGGGTCCCTCAACCCAGGTGTGTCAAGTTGACACTAAAGCTATCCAGCACAATTGACCCCTTGTCAACTTAACACACAAACATCACTATTAAGCCATAAACTTTCCAATTTTTGTCCCTGAGATATGATGTTAATATCCCAGCATAAGAACCTTAAAACTTAAAAGCCCCACAGTCCTTAAAAGAAATCCAAACACTTAAAAGTCCATGGCCTCTTTTAAAAGTCTCTTTAAAATCCAAAACAAGTACTGTCTTATTTCAAATGGAAGAATCGGGCACACCTAAGCAAAACCAAAGTCCAGCAAAGTAGCTCGAGGCTGGACATCTGGGATTCACCCACAATCTTCTGGGCTCCAAAGGGTACTAGCAGCTCCACTGCTCTGACTCTGCAGTCTACAGCACACTCAGCTCATCTCACAGACCCAGGCCAGCTCCAATCCACACCTACTGCTGTCCATTGTGGTCATCCCATGGCCCCAGTATCTCCAAAAAGCTGGGGTCTCCACTGAAACTGAGGCTACACCTTCACCAACGGCATCTTCTTGCCTCTGGGTTGCAAAGCCTCATATTGTCTCCATGACCCCTTCAATCCTGGGGTCTTCGCTGCAACTGAAGCTGCATTTTCACCTGTCGCCTTTCCTGGACAAGCCTCAGCTGCTCTGTGTCCCCTTCATGCTTTCAACACCAGAACCATGCAGGAAACTCTTACACATTACCAAGTCCTACCAGCTTGAAATAGAGGTATGGGACCCCACCATGCAGGAAACTCTTACACATTACCAAGTCCTTCCAGCTTGAAATAGAGGTATGAGTCCCCACTGTGTGCTGACCCTGAGGAAATACCTCCCAGAAGACTCAACCACAGTGATACTGGTATCAGGTTACTTACAGCTGATTTTTCAGCCCCAGCTAACCAGCATCAATTGTCCCAATAAATCAAAGGTTTTACTTTAGGTTCTGGTCTCTTCTTAATCACAGCTGATTCTTCAGCCCCAGCCGACCAGAACCCACAGATTCTCAATTCAAAATATCACAGGAACAGCCCTGATAGTCTCCGCTTCCCTTTGAAGCTTCAGAAGCCAGGCCTCCATCATCTACAATTATTTCAGCATAACTTTTCCAAGCTCCACAGCAACAAACTCTGAGCACACAATAGCTTTTCCAGCGCAAAGCTCCAAACATTTCCACAGTCCTCCCCAAAACACCAAGGTAAGGTCTGTCACAGCAATACCCCACTCTTGGTACCAATTTCTGTCCTAGTTTGTTCTTCATTGCTGTGACAAAACACTCTGACCACTACCAACTTAGGGAGGGAAGGGTTTATTTAGCTTACATATCTGAGGTCACAATTCATCCAGGAGCCCAAGGTAGGAAATCAGGACAGGAACCAGCAGCTGGAACACAAGCCATGGAGGAATCCTGTTTACTGGCTTGCTCCCCTGACCCCTCCTCAGCCTGCTTTCTTATGCAACACAGGCCCACCTGCCCAGGGGTGGCACCTCCCACATCACTCATCAAGAAGATGCCCCTCAGACTGGCCCACAGGCCAGTCCAATAGAGGCAATTCCCCAATTGAGGCTCGTCAACCCAGATGTGTCAAGTTAACACTAAAGTTATCCAGCACAATTTCCAAGTGTGAAAATGGCCTCTTCACAGCAAGGGATACAAACAACAGAATTAAATATCAAATGATGGCTGGAAAGGTGGATCAGCAGGGAAAGGCACCTGTCACCAAGCCTGACAACCGAGTTCCATCCCTGGCACCCACAAGGCAGAAAGACAAAACCAACTCCTGTACATTGTCTTCTGACCTCCTCATGGATGTTACACACACACACACACACACAATGTGATGAAAAAATTAAAAATATAACAGCAAAAGATTTGGAGAAATAGTTGCAAGTCTTATATATGGTAAAGGGTAAATATTCAACATGTGAAAGAAATTCACAGAGCTCAACAGCAGAAAAAAGAACAAAGAAAAAAGCCAGGTGATTTTTTTAAAACAGGAAAAGGACTTTGAGAGAGGTTTTCCCAGAGGTGACATGTCAATGGCCCAGAGTCTGTGAAGTATTCAAAATCATTGACCATCAAATAAGTGCAAGTCAAGACAAGCACTGGGGAGGGCATGAAGGAACGTTGCTCAGGGTGTTGAAAGCCATGTGGAGATTACTCTGAAAGGTAAAATCCTCTGCCATGTGATCCAGCAACCCCACTCCTGAGGTCATATCCAAAAGACATAAAATAGGGATACTAAAGATTCATAGGGGCATTACTCACGATGGCCAAGATACAGAAATAATCTAGAGTGTGTCATCAGTTGAATGGATAAGGAAACTCAGGGGCAAATTGCAACTGGAAAATTATGAAACTATAAAAAAATGATCCTTCCCTCTGCAACAGCATGGACAAGCTTGAAATATATGATGCTGAGTGGGATAAGGCAGACACAGAAACACCAGTACGGCTTGATTTTACTTAGATGGGACATGGGAAGGTAAGTCTGGGAGAAGCAGAGAGCAGACCAGTGCTTGTCAGGGATTTCAGTGGCATTGGTCATAGGTACAAACTTTCAGGTATAAAATAGCCATGTTCTGGGAATCCAGTGTTCAAGGTGAGTTGTGGTAGATGTGTGATTAGTACTATTGTGGTAATCACACCACGTATGCCAAGTAAGTGGGTGACTCTAGATAGATTGGCTAGACTCCACTGGATGAACTTGCACCAAGGGACAACTGCATACACAAACTTTTAGAGGCCTTAACGTATATGAGAAAATGCATGAAATCCAGTGGCGAGGGCTATGGGGATGTGGATGGGGTGGAGATCTAAATATGATTAAGATGTAATGTATGAAGTGCACAAAAATTCAGTAAAAATATACATTGAGAAAAAATCGCATTGAGAAAGCCATTGACACACACACACACACACACACATTGAGTAATAATAACTGATTCCAACATGTATGAAAAGGGTTATAAAAAAATTGTATATATGACTGGTTATTTTGATTAGAGGATTATGAACATTTTGGCCAGAAATAATTAGACTGGACCTGGGAAGATGACTTTAGTAGGTAAAGTGCTTACTGCACAAATCCTAAGTTTGGATACTCAAT